AATTTATATGAATCCAAAGGTTAATTTCTCTAGATTTCGATTCTCTTCTGCGTCAAACTTTTCCGTGATTTTGTAAGTTTGGTATTTCCTTTTTCCTCGTTGGATTCTGAATCTGTCGACGTTAATTTCCTTTAAACCCTAAATAATGTAATCTCTCGATCACATCCTTCCCATTCTCCTTCTTCTTCCTCCTTTTTCTTTGTGAGGTCTAATTTTGGCTATGCGTTTTTTTTTCTGAATTTCGTGTGAATAAATTGGAATCTCTGGACGTAATTATGGAACACCATGGATTATTTTGAAAGATTTCTGAGAAATTCAGTTACTTATCATGTTTCGTGAAGTGGATTAAAGACAGTGTAAATCAAAAATTAGGTTTAAGCCTTCTTTGCTGGTATGATCATCTTTTGATGAGGTTGTGAGTTTTTGAGCTGACAAGACTAGTGTTCAATAATGTCAAATCCCAAATTAACCGAGCTTTGAGTTGATTCCAATATCTGGATTTTGCAACAATTCGAGTGTCAGTTCTGAATTGATAAACATTTATGTTAATTGCAGGTTTTGGTGATTCTCAAGAATTTTGTTCCTGAATCAATGGTTAACTCCATCAAAGGAATCTTCATCTCCTGGTAGATTTTACGTTTCTTGTTGATACTCTAATGAATCGCATCTTTTAACTTCAGTTTTTTTTTTTCTTGTTTCTTTTTTGTTTCCTTCTTCTTGCAGTGATGTTCCCATGGCGCAGTTCATTGCACATTTGAACAATTCATTGCCTTCTTCACAGAGATTCATAATCCAAGTACTGAAACTGGACACTACTTGTATGTTTGTGAAGCCACAAGCTGAGCAGATGATCCTCAGCGAGGTCTCCAAGTTTAGGGACCAACTTTCTTTTGCAAAGCCCGCTTGATCTCTTGTTTTTTCTTCCTCCTTGTTTGTTTACTTGATGTTGATATGGATATCTTAATACAATGTAACATCAAAACATAGTGTTAGAAATCTTCGGTGAAAAACATGGTGTTTTGTCAAGATTAGTATGGAGGATGAGATGAAATGTTTATGTACTGGAACATTTCGGTTCTGAAAAACCGAATTGGTTAAGATGGGATGAAATGTTTATGTACTGGAACATTTCGGTTCTGAAAAACCGAATTGGTTAACATTCATTTTTATGCTTATATATTGTAAAATCTCTATAAATAAATTAATAATCACTATAAATTAATAAATTTTGTTGATCCATCAAATCTATCAAATTAATACAATGTAAAAAAAACATAAAATTTGATGAGATAATAAGATAATAATTATTTTGAAACCCCTATGTAAATATTTAGTCCCAACAAAAGCATAAATTAATAATTATATAAATTTATGCAAATATATGTAAATATAATATTCTAAAATATGACTACTGTGTTTGCTTCTACTTAAGGTTGAAATCTCATTGGATCTAATCTCTCTAATTATTATATCAGGAGCTCTTATTGATGTTTTACGATATACATTCAAAATTTATGATGATTTTTTATGTGATAATTAATTTTCTTACCTGTAAATATTTTTAAATGTATTGTTGTATTATTTTTGATTTTATCATCAATAGTATGGATAGTAGCCATGGTTTTTTTATAAATTATAAACTTATGAACATGTATATTTTTACATGGACAATCCAATATTATATTAAAAACTATTTTATCGTGATAAATATGATTATTAATCATAATTTATATAACGGGATTTGTTAAAATTTTAAAATATAAAATTATTTCAAGGAATTTTTTTAAAATATAAATAGAAAACAAATTTTCTCTATAAATTAATAATTATTCATTTATAGATATATCACAATTTATTAATAAAATATTATAATCCTGGCATTATTAATTTATAGAAGTTTTACTGTATACAACTATTCTTGCTGCACCCCTACTAAACTTTTTTCATACTAGATTATGCATCCACGCTACGCATAGGTATTTTGTTGATAAAATTTATATACAATCAATTATATTTATTAAGATTTAAATTTTATATATTAGTATTCTAATAATATATTAAAAATATTATAATGTTAATCAAATAATTTTTATGTAAATTATGAGATTTTAACGGTTTTGTTTTAAATCTATATACAGTATGTTATATTTCAAAAACATATTATTTTGTCAAATACTTTTAAGTTAATATACTCAAATCAATTACTTTTTTAACAAATTAATCAAATGCTACTTTTTAAACATAGTATTGACATGATGATAAAATATTATACATTCACTTCTTTAAATCAAGAACATAATTTTTTTTTATCATTTTTCACTTTTATTCCAATTATAGATAAGTTTTTTTAAAAACAATTAAAAACAATTTAATTTTAAATTTAATTTTTTTTCTTCTTTTGTTTAACCAATACAAATTTTTATTTTGATATATTAATTCAAAAAACAAACTAATAAATAAAATGTTTGTTTGGAGATTAATAACAAACTTTAAAGTTAAAATCAAATCAATAGTTGAATATGAAATGAATAAAATCATACAAAATTTATGAATTAAATATATTTTTGTTAATTGGTTGTGTAAAATTCTAAATAATTTTTCAATGATTATACGTCATCTCTTCTAACAAGAATGAAAAAAATTTCATCATGTTCATTATTATTATTGTTATATCTGTTTTTTCAATGAATATATATTTTAATGATTTTTTATGATTATATTTAGATTTATCACATTCATCCTCACTTTTTCTAATTATAATTATGTAGGCAAAACTGGTACATTTTAATACATACAAATTTAGAAAAATAAAATAACAAATTGAATAACTGAAAACTAAAAACGTCTACATTAATCTATTGCAATTCCAAATCGAATATACAAAATATAAATTTTTAATTATTTTTCATTAATATATTACATGAGATTATATGAAAATATGTTTTGCATATATTAAAAAAATTTAGATGAATATAAATCATAATTATTATTTAAAATTCTTTTTGAAAAACCTTAAAATTAAGTAATCTAAGCTTGTATAAGTAGCATATATTTTTTTTTGATAAAAAAATTACATTTGTAACTTAAAAGATATTTTAATATTATTTTGTTTTTTTTTGTTAATAGAGATTTCTTTATTTTTTAATTTATTTTCCTAACCACAATATTAGAATTAGAAAAATTTTATAATTTACAATTTTAATATATACAAATAAAATTGAATTTTTAAATGCTGATATGGATGTCTTGATAATAATGTAGATTTAACTGTTATTAATAATAGAAATGTCAGGATTATAATATTTTATTAATTTATTCAAGTTTTTTGAACACGGCTGATATTTGATAGAGTTTCTTTCCATTATGTGGTGTTATTATATATGGTAACATTTTAGAGAAATGCATAATTCCATCATCATAATAATTCTCGAAATGTGCACCCATTTGCATCAAAAATGCAATGGTACTTTAAGTACTTGTTGATCTTAAACTTATTTGTGTAGTACTTGAGAGCTTTTTTGTTTTAATTACAAAATAAATCAATGATTATTTTTCGTAAAGAAAATAAATTCATTATATGCGGCTAAATTTGATGATTACATTATGACGTCGAGAAGCAAGCAAATGGTGTCCACCATGAATGTTTTTTTTTTTCTCCAAGTTCCCGACATTTCTTCTCTTCTTTAGCGAACTAATTTCTTGTAAACCAAAAAACTAATAACAATTTTAATTAAAATGCCTAAATTTCTAGTTTATGCATGCAAAGTGGTACCTTCGATTCATAATTGTCTCTATATATGTATTGACCGTATGGCGTATGGTGACAAACATTCTTCTGTGTAATTTTACTAACACTAGGTGAATACCCACACGTTATGTGCAGGTTTTTCTTTTCAATTTTCTCAAATTTTTTTTATATTTTTATAAAAATTAATATAATCATCACTTATTACTTACTTACTTGTTAATATTTTATTCTACAAAATTTTAAAATATTAATTTAAAATAAATATTAAATATTATTTAATAATTTAAAGTTATATTAAAATTACTAAATGTCATTCAATTTTTTTAATTAGTTATAACATAATTTTTTTTAACATTTACAAAATATTAATTAATAATCAATTAATAAAAAATTAAAATTAATATAATCATCATTTTATTTGTTATTTGTTAGTATTTTATTATAAATAATTTTAAAAAATTAATTTAAAATACATCTTGAATATTATTAAGTAGTTTACAGTTATATAAAAATTAAATACATATCTAATAATATTTTTAATTAGTTATAACATTAATTTTTGTTTAATATTAATATAAATATTAGTTAAGAGTCAATTAATAAAATAAAAATTTCATATTCTTTAAGTGCTTTAAAATTTAATATTAAATTTTATTAATTGAAATTTAATTGACAACTGTCAACCTCTCCAATGCTGATATGTCAAATATATGGAGAAAGTTGAGCAACTTTTATATATAAGATTTTATGTTTTGATTTTTTCAGGAAATTTCGAAGATAGCACTCTGCATGAGTTGGATCCGTATCTGCTTATAGAGTCCTCTATATCTGTAACATATGTGCTCCATTATTAAAGACTAAATTCTTTACAAAAACAAAAAACTTAAGATCCCACTCGAGTCTTAAGTCAAGATTTTTTTTGCTAAAGAGTCTTAAGTCAAGATTAATTTGGGTCTTCCTTTTTTTAAAAAAAAAAAACTCACACGGTTCGTCCATCAGTCTTATTAAACAGAAGGCAAACATAAAATATTGGTTTATACATATATAGACTCGATTAAACAAAGAAGACAAAGTCATCGTCGCCTATATATAATTAACTAATACAAAAGCTTGTCACTATTATTTTCAAACGCGTTTAATAGTTTCTTATATAAACACATCTCCATTCTCTTCTTCTCTTCATTATCATTTCACAAAATTTAGTTTTTATTTTCCATTTTAAAACCAGCAGATTTGCAGTATTTGGGAGGAAATGGAATTTGTGAACAGCTCTACATCGAGATATGAGTGTCTCCTCTTTGGTAAAACTTTTCTGTCCAATGTGTCTTTTCTAAATATAGAAAATTTGGAAGCAATTAACAAATTTGAATGATCTATATCTTTATGTTTGTTTCAATAGATTTGGATGATACTCTTTATCCTTTGAGCCCTGGTCTACCTGAAGCATGCGCCAACAACTCATAGGTATGATTTGGATTAATTATAGTGTATGTTCAATATTTCATTTGTAGAAACAAACAAAATTTCCTTAACATCACCAAATTATTCTTGTGCAGAATTCGTAGTTCAGAAGCGTGTAGTAGATGTAGACGAAGTCGTTGAAGTAGACCTACTACTCAAAGAAAATTATGGAACTTCAATGGCTGGAACTTCAATGGCTGGTGTAAAGGTAAATTTTGTTTTTGACAGTGGTGTAAAATCAATATACACTTGGACCACCCTATAAATCATATGAAAATGGTTTATGGTTAATCAAGATTTTGAAATAATGGATTAAATTAATGCAGGCAAATCATGAATTCGACAATGATATGTTCCACAACTATGTTCGTAAGAGATTATACTATGAAAATCTTAAACCGGACCCGATCCTAAGAAATCTCCTCCTTAGTCTACCTTATCGAAAACTGGTATTACTTTCTTTATATTTCCTTAATTAATTCTAGTTGATAAATATACATATTAACAAAATTGTATGGGGTTTTTTTAATAATTTTTTGTTGTTAAGGTGTTCTCGAATGGAGATGAAATTCATGTGACGAAAGCTCTAACAAGACGTTGGTGTAGGATCTCATCCTTCGAGTCCGGCCTACAAAATCTCAATAAAAGCATAGAAAAGCCTATCTTGAAATGGCTGATAAAGGGAAATATTCTTTATGGGCCTCGTAATTAGAAAACATTTGCCTTTCTTATTCTCTGAGAAAATCTTAGCAATCTCTATTAATTTTCTGTTCTTCTAAATCGCATTGTACCCTTTTGAATCATCCATACACATATACTTTGTCATCTTTTACAAGTTTGCTTTCTATTGGTTCCATTAATTGTTTTGATTCAATGATATAACAAAATTATATTTCCAATTATACCCTATAGTAATTCATGGTATGTGAACATCAAACATGCTACCATCAAGCTCAAGACCCACCCACTCATATGATGTCGTTTCCACGACCTCACAAATATTACCACTCCTTCGGGTCTTATCCTAACCAGGATTCGATCCCACATCTCGAATCAACCGATGATCACATACCCGGATTGCATCTAGAGGATCAACTTGAAAACCAAAGCTTCATAGTTCCAATAACGTGACATAAATTCATCCCCAAGTATTAATGTTATGATTAGATTAGACAAAACTTTCTTATCTACTAAATAGTAGTAACTTTGTTATTGATCAGCTGTTTCATTCAATTCCGATTTAATTTATTCAACTTGAGAGTTTTCTCATTCTCTTAATAATTCTACTATTTCACAATTCAGTCATTCCACTATTCTGTTATGCAACTGACATACCAGTTAAACTTTTAAATTTGTCAACAATTCAACTTTTCTAACGGAATTAATTGAATTTCTTCCTATCTGTTTTCATTGTAAATGGTAATTTTTTTTTTTTTGTAAAGTATAATTCCATCATATTTTATTTATCTCGCTGTCTACTCATTTGCATTCTAGCTAAGTGTATGCCGTAATGGTACTAGTAGTATGATAACTTATTTGTCCACCATGAATGCTTTGTTCTCCAAGTTCCTGACCTTTCTTATTAATTCCTCGTAAATCAAAAGCTTAAATTCTATGTTTATGCATGCAAAGCACTATCGTCGCTTCACATGCCTGTCTTTTTTTTCCTCTCACATGCCTGTCTATATCTAATTAATAGAAAAAATGAAAAGAAAATCGAAACTATTGACAATAAATGTTTTCTTGGAAAATGTTGAAACTACGTACAGATCACTTCCCAATTCGTTTGCCTTCGTTTTCCTATAGTTACAAATCACTAGTTTAGTTTTGTTGATTCTTCTTCATCAGTGCTTTTGCAGAATCGCTTCGTACTTATCGTTGTACTGAATTTGTCTTGTAAGCCTAGCTACGTCTCTATGTGGCTATAATATGCTATGGAATGCAAACATAACTAACGTCTTTCTTTGTTATTATGTTGCAGAAAGATTCCGTAACATGGAGAGGGAAGAGAAGAGAAGTCTGGTTAACCAAGTCTTCTCTTGGTCAGTCAAGATATTCTCAACAAACAAATCGTCAAGGAACATATAAGGACAATATCAGACAGGTTTAGGTCTGTTGATGAATACTTTAGGCGTCATATGATTTTAGGCTGGCTCTGTAGATCACGGTGTTCTGAACACCAAACCATTTCAATAATGTATCACTAATGAGAGTTGATAAGAACACAATAGAGCAAATTACGAACCAAAATGCCAATATCTCATTGCTCTCACAAAAGCAGGAAGGCCAAGACGCATCGATGACTTGAACCCACTGGTTCTTGCATATCTATTCTCTGTTAAAGATCAGCTACATTTTTATGTTCCATCCATATCCATTGATGAGAGATCTTCATATCGTTCTGGTGTTTTTCTAATGACTTTAACTACAAACACTCATATCTTGGAACGCTCTACACAACGAGGTGCCAGTTTGAGTCTCATCAAAAGCGTCCTTCAGGCTAATACATGTTCGGAATCAATTCAAAGCTCCAGATCGGAAATTTAGACCAATATGGTTTATTATATAATTAATATCCAATTCTGATAAGTATGAGGTCTTTTGATTTTAACTATAAACATTCGTATCTTGGAACGCTCTGCACAATGGAGGTGCCAGTTTAAGTCTCATCAAAAGCATCCTTCTGGCTAATACATTTTCGGAATCAATTCAAAGCTCCAAATCGAAAATTTAGATAAATATGATCTATTATATAATTAATATCCAATTCCGATTAGTATGAGGTCTTTTGATTTTAACTACAAACACTCGTATTTTGGAACGCTCTACACAACGGAGGTGCTAGTTTGAGTCTCATCAAAAGCATCCTTCAGACTAATACCTGTTGGGAATCAATTCAAAACTCACATCAGAAGTTTAGACCAATATAATCTAATATATAATTAATATCCAATTCCAATTAGTATGAGGTTTTTTGGAAAATGGTCCAATCAAATTCGTGTGGGTTTTGCTAATTGTGCGCAAAGCGAATAATATCATACTAATTAGAGTTGGACATGGACTTAGAAAAGTCCAATAAATGGTATCAGAACTCAGGTTAAAAAAAAATGGACCTGGAAAAGTGGATTGGGCTAAATGTTCGTTGTGAGAGGAGAAATCTTCAAGGTGACCTTGCGATTAAGAAGTACAAGATGGGTACTAGGTATCTCTGTAAGTTGGAAACCAAAAATTATGTGGTTTTTGGTTCGAGGATGAGATTGTTGGGAATCAATCCAAAGCTCCACACTGAAAGTGTAGAACAATATGGTTTAATATATAAATAATATTTAACTCCAATTAGTATGAAGTCTTTTGAGAAAGAGCTCAAAATCAAATCCGTACAGATTTTACCAGTTAAGTATAAAACTAATATTATATTAATTAGAAGAATTAGACATGAATTTAAAAAAGTCCAATAATACCAAGATATATAATAAAAGAAACATTTTCCTCAGTCTTTAGGATATAGTATTTGCTAACGTACAAGTTATAAAAATTGATTGACCGAATTATATACGAAAAAAGACAAGATTTATCTTTTCAAGAGAAGGAGATTATATTAGTATTATATTTTTTCTCTTTTCATAATTTTTATTTTATTGAGTTTTTCTATAATAATGTTTTTGACGGAGTAATACTCAATACATAATCCATTTTGGATTGATGGTTAGTCAAGGGAGAGTACGTATATATAAAAAGTTGGATGGTTATCCATTTTAATATAATATTGTTTTTTACTTCTACCGACTTTGCTTTTACCGACTGTATTATTTGAGTCTTTTCTTTCCTCTGTAAATACGTGTAAGTGAATGTAAGAAAGTAAAATGAGTTAGCTCTTCCCTTTTTCATTTACTCGCACTACACTTTCACCTTCCTCATCACATCTCTTGCTTCTCTCATCAACAAATTCTATAAATCTAGGAGTATACTAATAAAACACCTTCGTATACTGTTGTACTATATATAGTCTTATAACTGAAAGCATAATCACTGTAATATAGTTTTTCTTCATTTAGCTTTTGCTTTTTTCCATAAGCTCCAGAAGCATAGTCACGGTAAGTTAATGGTTTATGTAAAACAATATTTTTCTTTATATGTTAAAGTACTTATAAGTTCTTCTATCATCATTTTGTTTATGTTTACCTCCTTTTTTTGGAAAAAATCCATGGTTATGGATCTTTTTCTTTATGGATTGTACTAACATTAACCGAAAATATAATTAGTAATAGTTTTTTTTTTTAAAAAAAAAATATATATATATATAAATATATATAATTAGTAATAGTTTACCTTTTTCACAGCTTAAATGAACAAATCTACTTTTCATAAACAAAACTATACATGTAATATTTGTTTTTTTATCATAGATTATCTTTTTATGTTCGTACTATACAGTATATTGTTCTGATAAAAACTGTTTTTTTTTTATATAATGATGTATGCTAAAAAGGTTTCTGAATCCGCCCCTGATTAGGCCGTAATGGTAATTTAGTTTTAAAACTTATTTCTCCACCTCGAATGCTTTGTTCTCCAAATTCCGATCTTTCTTCTTAATTCCTTCCTTCAGTGAACTCATTTCTCGCAAACCAATATAATACAACTAATAACTACTACTTGAAAAATAAAAAACTAATGATTACTACTAGTAATTAAAAAGCTTAAATTCTAGCTTAATGGCATGCAATGTGCTATCGTCGCTTCACATTCCTGTCTATAGAAAAAAAAAACTAAAAAGAAAATCGAAATCTATTGACAATAATTGTTTTCTCGGAAATTGTTGAAATTACAGATCACTTCCCAATTCTGGTTTGGCGTTTTCCTTTAAGTAGAACAAACTGAAAGTTCGGATTTTTCTTCGTCTTCATTTCGTCTTGTTTATTCTTTCTTCATCAGTGTTTTTTTGTAGAATTGCTTCATACCTATTATTCTATTGAGTTTGCCTTGTAAGTCAAGTTACGTCTCTATGTGGCTATAACCTGCTATAAAATGCAAACATAACTAACGTCTTTCTTTGTTATTATGTGGCAGAAAGATTCAGTAACATGGAGAGGGAAGAGAAGAGAAGTCTGGTTAACCAAGTCTTCTCTTGGTCAATCAAAGATATTCTGAACAAAGACATCTTCAAAGAACATATAATGACAATACCAGATAGTTTTTGGTCCGTTGATGAATACCTTAAGTGCTTCGTTCCTCATATACTAGAGGAGACACGAACAGAGTTGTTCTCAAGTTTGGAATCTTTGTATAAATCTCCCGTCTTGATCATACGTTCCATGGAGGCAAGGTCAATAAGATTACCAAGTAGAACGTCGACCAATTTCAATGTATCACTGATGAGAGTGAATACCAAAGGAAATAGAGCGAATTACGAGCCGAAATGCGGAGATCTCATTGCTCTCACAAAAGTAGGAAGGCCAACAAGCGTTAGTGACTTGAACCCACTGGTTCTTGCATATGTATTCTCTGTTGAAGATGAGCTACATTTCTCTGTTCGTTCGTCTAAATCCATATCCATTGATGAGAGGTTTTCTTTTCGTTCCGGTGTATTTTTAATGACTTTAACAACAAACACTCGTATATGGAAGGCTTTGCACCACGAAAGTGCCAATTTGAGTCTCATCAAGAGCGTCCTTCAGGCTAATGCCACGGTATGTAATAAAATGAACATTGGTCTTTAGTATTTTAGTGCCCTAAGTTTTTGTTTTTAGGTATCTTGGAATGATGTGTGTTTTAGAGCTATGACTCTTGAGTTTAAAAACCTATTTCATAGATCAAGAAAACAACGTTAACTGTCTAAAGTAGTATTTATATTTTGACGATGTAAAACAGATTATAAAAAGGGTTCATTTTTCTCATTGGCCTTGGGATTATTCTTGTATTTCAGGATACAGAGCACTCTGTTTCTTCTAGGAATTGGGGAAATGATGTATTGGATATAATACATTCAGAGAACTTGAACTCTTCTCAAGAATCTGCAATTTTGAGTTGCTTGGAGACAAGGAACCATTGTGACAAGACTAGTGTGAGACTGATATGGGGACCGCCTGGTACCGGCAAAACAAAGACGGTGGCTACTCTTCTCTTTGCTCTTCTCAGACTAAGTTGCAAAACAGTTGTGTGCGCTCCTACAAACACGGCCGTGGTAGAAGTTGCATCGAGGCTCTTGGCGTTGTTGAAGCTATCTTCTTCATCAGAACATTCTACTTACGGGTTTGGGAATATTGTCTTAGCCGGAAACCGAGTCAGAATGGGGATAGACAACAGGAATGATGATCTACTTAATGTGTTTCTTGATCATCGCATCAGTAAATTAAGTGAACTGTCATCTTCGATGTCTGGATGGGAACGGATTTTGATGTCATTCATAGATTTTCTTGAGAAGGCGGAGTCTAACTACAAGAAACATCTCTTGTTAATTGAAAGAAGGGAGAAAGAAAAAGGTGAAAACAATACAAATATTCTTGTATCATTTGGAGAGTTTGTAAAGAAAATGTTTTATGGCTTTAGTGAAAAGCTGGATCAGAAGGAAGAAGAAGGTAAGAAGGAAGAAAAGATTCTTACATTTGGAGAGTTTGTAAAGGAAAAGTTTGGTAGCTTAAGTGAAGATTTAGAGAAGTTTATGGACCATCTGGTGGATATGTACACACATCTGCCCAAGTGTTTTATATCATCTAATGATGTGAAGAGAATGATCATAGCCCGTCAAGCTCTTCATCATGCTAGAGATTTCTTGCAGGAGAACTCTTCCAAACAGGATTTTGAGATCAGAAGCTTCATATTGGATTGCCTTCAGCCTCTAAGAATGCTTCCAAATCGTTTCAAGATTCCAAACTTGTTGGAAAACGAGGATGGAAAGAGATTTTGCCTGCAAAATGCACACATAAACTTCTGCACTGCCTCGGGTGCCTCGGAAATGACCGAGGAAAGGACAGGATCCATAGAGCTACTTGTAGTTGACGAGGCAGCTCAACTTAAAGAATGTGAATCAGTTGCTCCATTGCAACTTCACGGCTTGCGCAATGTTGTTCTAATAGGGGATGAGTTTCAGCTACCAGCAATGGTGCAAAGCGAGGTATTGTCATTTTGCAAAAAATATTTATAGTTTAATTTGAGAATGCAAACGTAGAAAATTGCGGTTTGAAACGTAGTCGTTGTAATCCATGCAGGTATGTGATAAAGCAAAATATGGGAGAAGCTTGTTTGAGAGATTGGTTTTGCTTGGCCACAAAAAGCATTTGCTTAATGTTCAATACCGTATGCATCCCTCTATAAGTCTTTTCCCAAACATGGAGTTTTATGGTGGGAAGATCTCTGATGCTGCCATTGTTAAAGAAAGAAGCTATAAAAAACGGTTTCTTCAGGGAAACATGTTTGGTTCTTACTCATTTATCAACGTGGGACTTGGGAAAGAAGAGTTTGATGATGGACATAGTCCCAAGAACATGGTTGAAGTTGCTGTGATTTCTGAAATCATATCCAATCTTTTCAAAGGTATATATGATTAACCAAATACTGATCTCAGTTATATATATGATCTCAGTTAAATATTGTTTTTGAAACAGTGTCAAGTGAGACGAAGACTAAGATAAGTGTTGGGGTTATTTCACCGTATAAAGGTCAAATTAGAGCAATCCAAGAAAGTGTCGGAGATAAGTACGGTTCCTTATCAGATGAGCTTTTCACTTTGAATGTTCGGTCGGTTGATGGGTTTCAAGGAGGAGAAGAAGACGTTATTATCATATCAACCGTAAGAAGCAACGGTAACGGAAAAATAGGGTTTCTCAGTAATCGTCAAAGAGCAAACGTAGCACTCACTCGTGCAAGGCACTGTCTATGGGTGATTGGGAACGGGACAACTCTGTCTCTGAGTGGTTCCATTTGGACAAAGCTTATAAGGGACTCGAAGAGACGTGAATGTTTCTATAATGCTGTTGATGACAAGAATCTAAGAGATGCCATGAATGATGCTTTGCTCAAGGTCGACATGTCTGATGTGTATTCGAGTTTTCGATCAGGAGAGAGAGACAAAACGCTAGGTGATGAAAGCTCTGTGTGGTTGTCAACTTTGTTATCCTATGGTTCCACTCTATTGTCTTCTCAAGTTTTTGTGCTATTTTAGTATTTTTGTAATGGGTATTAGTATCTCAAATCATATTAGTAACTAATTATAGATATACAACTTGCTGAACAAAATTCATTTGTGCTTTTAATGGTATTTTAAGCTGAAAAACTTACAATAATTTGCTTATTATATATGCGTAAATCATCGTAAACAAATGATGTAATTGACAGACAGTGTACGAAACTAGTTTCTCTAGTTAAAAACTTAACTTTTACAAGACTTGACTTTATTACTATACTACAATAGTTTTTTCTTCTTTTTCTGAAAATCTTATTTCATTGAAAACTTGAAAAAAAAAGGATCTACACTTACTTCTTTTTCTCCCTTCATTGTGTTTCACTTGAGCTATTTCTTGGTGGGAATTTGGTTTAGAGCCTTGAGGGCATACCTCCAGCGACGACCAAAGTTTCTCCGGTGATGTAAGAAGAATCATCTGATGCCAAGAAAGCCGCCGCGGCAGCCATGTCTCCGGTTGTTCCCAACCTGTTAAGCAGAGTCTTCTCTTCGATGCTTTCCCTCTAAGCACACAACAAGTGTTAATCCATCACTCTGATAATACAATCATAACCTCCATATTAACAGTTTCAATCTTAGTATCATTACCACTTGGGAGTTTCCGGTGATGAAAGAAGCAAAGTGTGTTGGCACAAAACCGGGAGCAACCGCGTTTACACGTGTGTCTGGACTCATCTCGGCAGCAAGTGCCTGGGACAAATGGTGTTCAATGTCTTCATCATCATCACCATTCAAGTCATGAGATGGAGACAGTAGATAAATGGGTTACCTTGGTTAGTCCGAGAAGAGCAGTCTTAGTGACTCCATACATAGCCATTGATCCTTGTGGTTGAAATCCAGCAATGGAAGTTATGAAGATAACCGAAGAGCCCTTCTCTAGATGAGGAGCGATATCCTGGTAAATTGAAACACAGAGAATGAGTCAAGATCGAGTTTGCATTATCTATCGAGGCCATGGAAAGACAAAGCTAACATTTTGTATCCTTAAGCTTTAACCTGAAGGAGAAGTATAGATGATTTGACATTGATTTCCCAAAGCTTGTCAAGAACAGCTTCTTTGCTCGACAAGATTGGGTCTGTAGATGGATTAGCAGCGGCGTTACAGATAACGATATCTATCTTCCCATATTTCTGAAACCAAACAGAGAAAGACAATTGTAATGCAAGCACGTAACCAAGAAACAAAAACAAGCAACTTCTTGTTTATGACAGAGAATCGCTCTCGAGTTTTAGCAAATGTCTTTACAGTAAGATTTAGCATTGAACCAAAAGCTCATAAGATCTTCTCTTTACCTGGACAGTCTTTTCGACAAGATTCCGGCGATGTTGAGCATTGGAAACATGACAGACGATTCCATATGCATCAATTCCTTTGGATTTGAGTTTTTCTACTGCCTCCTCAACATTTTCCTACACAGATAATCACAACATTGTAGTCAAGAATGGTTGGCTAAACAAAGCTACGAGTTTCCATAAAAGCAACAAAAACTGCTTCTCTGATCAAATCAAAGGATTTCTAAACCTCAATTCAAAATACAAACAGCAAAAATCTACCAAAATAAGAAGCAAATTCCTAAGAGAAAAAACAGTGAGATTACTATGATTCACTTCACCAGAAACATATAGAAACTCCAAAATCGAAAAAAAAATCATCATCGATTTGTGGTATTATAGCAAACATGTAACAAATCAAATCCAGTATTTCAACAATTACTCTGGCTACAGTAAAATTGCAAAAAAAAAAAAAAAACAACAACAAAAATATGAATATCCTCAATAACAAAAGCTACATAAGGAAGCAAAAATACAAAGATCCACCACTAAGAAGGTCGAGAAAATCTTAAATTCATCATTTTAAGTCAAAATCCGAAATACGAAAGAAACTAGTGAGGGAGATCGAGAAAACCTGCTTGCGGGAAGAAACGACGACGGAAGCGCCTTCGAGGCCGAGACGCTCAATGATACCGAAGCCAATCCCTTGCGTCGAAGCCGTCACAATCGCTACCTTGCCTTCCAGTCTTCTCGGCATCTTCTTCTCCATTTCTACTTCCTTTTTTACTTCTTCGACAGATTTTTCCTTCTTTTTTTTTTTTTTGTCTGTCGCTCTCTTTCTCTCTCTCTATAATTACGTTTGAAGCGTTTTAACCCAATAAATAGCGTTTAACACACTAATCATGTTGAGTTTAATATTTTACTTTTACCGTATTACTGCACTAATCGCATATGGACTCAACTCAACCATAAAAACGAGTTTTTAATATTTAAATACAACACGAGCAAGACTTTGAACTTATTGATATGAACATGTGGATCCTAAGGGATTTCAAGTGAGCGAATGGAAAGGAGGATGCCAAAAGATAAAATGGAAAATCAATCTACTAAAATTCAGTAAAACACAAGACATTGATCCAAACATTTTAACATGTTCTACAGACTCACGAACTCTCAAGCTTCAAATTAATCATAGGGATTTCTGAATTTCTTCAGGAGATCTGGAATGTCATAACCAAGCATATCGTCCACCGCTTGAATCATCTTCGGCTTCAATTTCTCGAATTTGTCAATGTTATAGCCTCCCAATACTTCTCTAAAATGCTCCACACTTGGAAAATCTCCAGCAGGAAGATGATACTCTTGTTGCACCTGTTTTTTTTAACATATGTTAAATTCTTAAAATACTAAATCAAGAATTTCATTATCTGAAACTAATACTGAATGTGGTATAAAAATATGAATTATGGCTCAATTTGTAACCACTATAGGCTACACATGATGCAATTAGTCTTAAGTTTTGGCCGAAGTGATTTGGTTACTAACCTTAGCAAATTCTTCTTGGAGATTGTCCATGAGACGTTGCTGAGCTTTGGATTTACCCATCATTGCTGGCATTTCCTTCTTAAGGTGGCTCATTATGTATGCATTGATCTTTGCAGCTCTGGCTCGCTTCACAAACTCGTTAATCTGCAAAGAATCACACACAAAAAAATGGCCATGAATCTTTTTCCAACTTCAAAAGTTCTGAACAGAGATTTTTCTTACAGACAGTTTTTGCTAACTGTGACTCATCAGAATCATACCTTCCTGTCACATGCTTTCTTGGGTATAACCATTAAATCAGCTAGAAGATCATTTTGCTCTTTCTCAAAGAGTTCTTTTCCAATCGGTCCAACTGCTGCTTCGTTTATGGGCTTGTCATTGAAGGACCTGTACAAGTTTACACAAGAACAAATCAATTAACCGTGTAACCATACTAAATCAAATTAACGATTCGTGTTGTATTCGAAAGCATACCCAACATAGACCCGTACAACCTCTGGTGTGTTCAGAACTTTACCAAGTGACCACATCAAAGCTCCATACACTCTCATTAGCTATATTAAACAAAGTTTTGGATCAGCTCAACAAAGGGTAAAAAAAGTTAAGCTTATGAATGTGAGAACATGAATGGGAAGGAAACGGATATTTACTTGTTGAGTATCGACTAGGTCAGCTTTGTTTAAGACAACACGTATCTTGTCTTCGTTACCACGCAAAGATGTTATAACCCGCTTGAATTCATCGCTGATGTCAAGCTTGTGGGGATCAAAGAGAAGGAGAATCATATCACATTTAGATGCAAACCATGAGATGACACCAGTGAAGTCATAGCTTCTTTGCATCCTTTGTTTCTCTCCTGAAAGAACTCCAGGAGTGTCTACAAGAGTAATTTGGTCCAAGACCTACACACGCAGGAAGACAAAACCTCATGTAATCCATCTGAAGAAATGATCAAGAAAAGAGAGAGAGAGAGAGAGGATAAGGAGGTACATAATACTCACCGGATGAGGCATCTGAGAACACTCGAACTTTGATAGGAAAGCACCTCCAAAACTTGTTAACCCATTAAATGGCATGTCAGCTTGAACAGCCATGGTATTTCCAGGTATGGTCCTCTCATCTGGTCCGCTCTATAAGAAAATGAAATCACAATATTTATCCGAAATGAGTACAAAAGGTAACTAGCAATCTTTCAACGAAGACACATCGACATACGGCATACCATTGCAACCACAAACCTATCTGTTGTTGGCTCTGGACCGATGTGAGCTCCTGATAACAAGAGACAATGATACAATCAGATCATAACTGAAGGTTTCTAGTATTGCTAAAAGTTGAAGAAAACGGAGCAAGTTACCTGGATATTCACATCCGAGCAAGTGTTTTATAAAAGTTGTTTTTCCGGTGGAATATTGACCCAAAAGCATTACCATGGGTTTGGCATCAAAATCGCTATTAGTCTGCATATATCAAAAGAACAAACTGAGTTTCATTTCCCTTGGTGATATAGATATAAGTTCTTAACTCTTAACCGAAAAACGGAATAAACAAAACCACAGTATTGTTTCTGAAAATAAGTTCACTCACCAGTGCTGGTGATGCAAAATCATTGAAACGATATGTGACCTCCAAAGGCTTTAGCTTTTCAGCATACAGTCTTTTCAAGCCATCAACGATTGTCACCACATTTACCTGTGGCTGGATATGAGAAGCGGTAGAAATAGTTGTTAGATCACACGACTCCATATTTGGAAGATTAACATTTGCGGCAATAAAACATCTAGTATCCAACCTTTATAACAGATTTTGATTTGAACCAGGGAACTTTTGCTGTGACTTGTGGCTGGGTAACTACTGCAAATTTAGCCAGCAAATCAGAATAACTATTACACAACGGAAAAACAGTCATGAATGAAAATATTGCAGTAAATAACAATGTTGTTTTACCATTGTCTTCATCATCTGTGTAAGGGTTTGATGATTTCTGCTTCTGTAAGCAAAAACACATGATAATTATTAGATTAAGATCATGTAAGATTCAAACAACAAAATGAGATAAGAAAGAGCCTTACAGATACAATATTTTCCAGTCCTTCCAACACTGGGGGTTCCACACTTTTCATGTCAACTATAATATTGGATACAGATTAGCCAATTTCTAACAACAAAATCCAACCCAATTGCTATATCTAAGAACCATTGTTCTTACTTGATTTCAAATTTTAAGATATACAAAATTTATCCTATGTTGTTCACTTACCCGAACCTTTCAATAGATCTGGAGTGACTTCATGTCCCTCCTGTGCCAATGAGACGAGCTGAGCAACAAAATAGTCAGATGAGTATAAGACTCATAAGATTTTCAATTGACTCATTAAGATAAGTAATTTTCGACACAAATCATACCTTCATCGCAGTGATGAATTCCGCCAAACCGAGAAACCCCTGCCGCTTCGAATCAGAAACTGCCCAAACCTTATAAACAGAATCCAACGAATTCCAATCAGCACTAGATTCTTCATTCTACACTTCATGTTCTTTTACAAGATTTCGAGTTATATATCGCCAGAGACAACGTTCCATGGATTCATGAAATCATCAAATCAATCCTTAAAACTAAATTAGCATATATTACACGAAAATCGTGGATTCGTGTGAATAATAACCTGTTTGAGTTCCTGGCGAGAAAGCTTTGACATCGCGAAGAACTTTGTAGCATCGTTCCCGGAAACACGACCGTCTCCATCTGAATTTCAGAGAAGCGAAACCAAAATCAGAACAGTATAATAACTACGCGAGTCTAGTAAATCAAACTGAAAAGGGGAAAGACATTGAAACCTGAATCGGCGATGTTGAACCATTCCTTGTAGATCTTCTGATGCTCTTTCAAACAAGTACCGATCGAGATCGCTGAAGACGTCTCCATTACTGAGAAGAAGATGCTTATCGAAGAGAGAGAAAGTGAGAGAGAGGGGAGTTTCTGAAATTTGAAATGGAGACTAATTGTTGAGAGAGACAGAGAGAGGATATATTTCCAAAAAGGGGATTTTAACTGGTTTGGCGCTTGTCGAACGGAAACGTTACGTTTTCTTAATCCCTTTTGAACGGACGACACGCTGTGTATCGCCTGAAGCTCAAAACAACGTGAAGGTTGATTTATTTAGCTAATTAACGAGATTATCATTCTATTGCAGTTTAATGGATATCAGTTTTTTTTTTTGGTTTTCAACAGACAAGCACGGAATAAACGGCTGTGATTTGGTATCCGAAACTCGCCAGATATCTCATCTTCGTCTTTAAATTTGAAAACTAGAATAGAAGCGCCACTTTGTAAAATTCCAGCTCAGCATATCGTTGAACAGTGAGTAAATGGGGCATTCGGTCCGATTTAAAAGAATTTGTTTTCATCCCAATTTTTTTTCTTAAAGACTTGTCTGATGCCGAGATATGGTTTACTTTTGGGTTTTGTGAAAAAAACCCATCAACTTTAATTTTTTTTTGTAAGAATGACGCTGACCTTTTAAAAATGCAGGTCAATACCTCCACCTCCAAAGTCAGCCGCAATACAGTCTACGCGTGTATTGATGACGTAGCATTATGATATCGTTTTGAAAAACAAAGAAAAAATGTGTTTTACTTGTGTTAAAACGATATGCTGTTTGTGAAGTTGTTGTTTTTAATCAAGAAAACGACATAATTTGTATGCTATCGTGAAACACTTAAATCTATTTAGGTCTTTCAAAAATTAGAGTTTGCATAAAATCGATTTATGGATAATCGAATTGAGTAGAAATTCGATTTGACAAAGTTTGGAAAGGGTTAACACGAGTGGTAATCGATTTAACATCAACAGTGACATCAAAGCTTAACCCAATTCGAAACCCAAAATACCTAAACAGAGACAATTGAATCCCAAAAACTCAATTCATTTCCTTACCGGATCTGTAGAGTGTTGGATTTGTTCTTCCTCAACTCAATTTGCTCCCAAACTATAAACTATAATTTATCTTTCTTCCCCAAATCGATTTGCATTCGAAACTAAGACAAATGAATTTGTCGATTTAATACATGTGGCTCATCTTGTATCAAAAATGACACGATGTTTTCAGTTCTCCGTAATTCAAAACGCAAAGTTTACTCATCAATACACGTGTGGGCTGTATTGCGGCTGACTTTGGAGGTGGGGGTATTGACCTGCATTTTCAAAAGGTCAGCGTCATTCTTGCAAAAAAAATAAAGTTGATGGGTTTTTTTGTACAAAACCCTTTAATTTTTCTTTGAAATAGATATGGTTTTCAAACCAAAAATAT